ACATCAATTTCCGCAAATCACACTGACCATCCTTATAGGGTCCCATCCACCCAGAAATAAGCCCCATTTATATTCTGCGCATAGCACAATGTCCTTTCCTGGGAAATAAGAAAAAAAAGGGATGTGAAAAGTAGATGAGTAAAAAATGCTCAGTTCTCATCTCAAGAATATAAAATGTGAATAAAAGCAGGATGCACTTTACATAAAGAGCTTTAGGTATCGGCAACTAAACACAATACTGAGGTACGTTCCCTTGGAGACATCAGAGAAATTGGATAATTTAATTGGACTAATAAAGTAACCACATCAGCACAAGGATTGGGTAGAACAATCTTAATGTTGCTGGTAACTCTTGTAAATTGTGCAATTGTCTTGAAAACTATAGCGATGTGTAATTAAATTAGTAAACCTAAAACCTACCAAATAAATGAAAAGTCAAAATGTTAAGGCAAACTCAAAATATGAGTAATGAAAAAGAAGACCCGAAAGGAGAAGCATACATTATGCTTACTCTGCATTCCTTCCCACTAAGTTGATCCCAGATCATATCACATTCATGCGCACTGCAAGAACAGGGCTTGCAAATACACTGCTGGAATTTCTGGGGGCTGATTACATTGGCTTCGTCTCTATACCACATGGCAGTATAGCTGAGTAGAAATGCACAGTGTTTGTCTCGGCAGTCTAAACTTGATCCTACCAAGAAGCAGTTGTGTACAGGCCATTTTTATACAGTGATTCTCATCACTGTATACGATCCAAATATTGTCACGGAAAAAGAGAAAGTGTTAGAAAGTAATATTCCTTCACCTTCCAGACCGAATACTATTAAAATGCTTCTCTTGAGCAGAATTTCAAGGTTAAAGGCTGTACATCATTAATCAGACAACCATTAACAGCAATTATCTTGAAAGGTTTTATTGTGTATTTTAGACCTTAAAATTAAGAAGAATATTGATTGAGAAGCCCTAAGAAAAAATGAAATGTCATTAACACCTAAGAACTAAATATTACTATATATAAAGACAACTTCAGAAGGTTATAAATTGCTGTGTAAAAGACAAAGAGACAAACAAATTCATGCTGTATACAGCAGGTCACCCAATTAATCTACTACTGCACAAGTGCCAATAGCTACAATACACAGCAGATCAAGTGAAAATTTACTTCATCTATTGAATGAAGGATGAACCTTACATAAGATAGCTGATGCAAGCTTAGGGTCAGATTTGGCCCAGGACAATCTTAACATTACAAAGATGTTTAATCATAGATCTGACACCTCCTACACCAGGCTGGGACAGGCAGAGGGAAGAAAGCCATCTACTGGTCTCCCATCATCACTAACAGTTGCGTTCCTTAGAGATATGCCAACACTGACTAGACCCAGCATTCCTTAGTTTTTATAGTCTGCCGATGACAGGCTAGAAGGTAGTAATTCACTGATCAAGATAACCTCATGTGAATTTTCAAAACTGATGAGCATTTTGTATTTACAATCAGCAAGACAATCCTCATTAATAATTCTGCCAAACAAATCTTATTTTAATTGTCTGTTGAGTTCCCTCGTTTAATGTGACAGCTAAAGTTCAGAGGAACTAAAAATAAATACAGGAAAACAGCACAAATAACTCTCAACCAAAATATTTGACTTCAATGCCAATCAATGATTTAAATCACCTAGAGTGTAGAAAATCCCTATTTCTGGCCCCTAACCTGGACAGTCATGTTTTTTATGGTTAATACAGAACTAAACACTGCAATGAGTCAAGGTTTTAATTTATTTGCACCGCTTTGCTAATACATTTATGTGCTGAGCTCCGCTACTCTTCTCGTGAAGTAGCCGATACCCAATATATTTTCTTATATCTTCACCAGCCATTAAACCACAACATAGCTGCACCTGTTTCAAAATCCTGCAGCTGACATGGCACACACTGTTTACTGTGTATGGTATGATGTGCTGCACAGGAGGAATGGAAGATCATCAGTGGTTGCACACCTTGGCAAGCATTTAATAATAAAGTACTGAAACCAGACTGAAGGCAACGCCTTAAAAACATTCTTTACATTTCTAAGCTCTCTGAGCTCAAGGATTCTATCTGGCTTTTTGAGGGGTTTGTGCGTGCAGGAAACGGCTCACTCAAGCCCTGACCTTGAGTTGGCTGAATCCCATGGCTGGAAGGAGCCCGACAGTGACGGGGGGGGAGTCCGGAAATATTATCTCTGCTTCTGTGTCTGCAGCTCCATCTAGTGAATGGACATAATGCTGTCCCCGTTCCAGATCACAAAGGGAATTGTTTTGTCCAACGGGGCATTGTTTCTGGCAAGAGTAAACAACCTGCAGGATAAGACATCCAGGCCAGTCAAAATATTATTGACAAGAACTAGGCCTGGATCTTTATCCATTCTAAAAAACAAGAGCAAAAACAAGGACTAGACCAAGAGGAGAAAAACAAAGGATCATTCTTCCCACACTAGGATTTTACTCAATAATAAGAGCAATTCTGTATAAGCAATTCCTATTCAATGACGTAGCCTCAGCCACCTTGAGACGCAACACAAATTTTATATATTTCAACTCTTTAATATTTAATAAAGAGTAATTCAAATTAAGCATTGCATGAATTCTCCTTTCAGATCAAGATTCAGCTGATGTACACATTTAATTCCAGTACCTGCACAAGTTCCCTGAAATTCAGCTCGAGTGCATGGACCCCCCAACCACATCAGTAAAACTAGAGCTTTAAAGTCAGCCTGTCCCACACCTCCAAATACTGCTGGTTTCAACACACAACTGGAAACGTTCTGCGTGGGCTTTGTCAGCCGAGAGCAACAACAGGCTGGAAATAGGTATTGTCCTCCACAAGTGAGTCAGCCAGAACAATGAGGCCAAGGGTATCCTGTTGTTGCTGCCCAAACGCCATGACCTTCAGGATATGAAACTGCACCGAGAGCCGTTTCCTGACTTGTTCCTTTCTAGTCGTGGTTTGAAGCTAAAAAGAGAAACGGGAGATTCAACACAGACAGGTCTGCCAGATCACAGGTCCCCCCCCTCTCGGGCCGCTGACAGCTGCTTGCGTTCACTGTGACGGTGGAAGAATCTGTTTGAGTGCACCAGGGAAACCTGCAGCTCTGCACCTCCCTGTCACTACAGCGACCATTGTGTGCGTCTTTTTCGGAAAGAAGTCCTAAAGGCCACTTTGCTCCTAGCTGTTATGGGAGCCACTCGACAAAACATAATAGTCTCAGACAAAAACTGAGGGATGGCAGGGGGAACTGCTCAAGCTACAGCTTTGTCACTCTGGTGGTGCTTTTTCCCCAAGACGTGCACAATTGAGATCAGTCTTCCTCTGGCTCCCGCTGTTTTTCCTAATAAATTGCCAGCTGGTGTCTGCACACCTGTAGACCTATTAGCACAGCTGTATCTGGTAAACACACATCGTGCGTAGAAAGTAACTTCTGTAACTCAAACCTATAAGTTTTTTTTCAATTGTAAAAATGATTACTGTCCTGACAGCAATGAAGAAAATGCAACATTTACAGCAGATGGGACATTGTCATCCCAGGTCTGGGTTGTATGCATGGATCCTGCTGGCCTTGGTGTTCAGATGGCACTAGAGTAATCTGATCCATCCCACAATCAGCTCCACTGGGATGCTGCCCCCTCTCTTCACTGGCATGGGTGGGGAAAAGGACAAGGCCCATTCCCTGGCCCCTGTGGTGCTCTCACTGTCTCTTTAAAACGAAGAGAGCTTGACATGTTTTAGCTTTTTCTGTCACCTTATAGCGTCTCTTTCGCCAATTCGGTTGAGTAAAATTAACGAGCTGGAGCTGTCACCAGCCTGGATCTGCTGGAGTCTTCTTCTCCAACAACTCTCACTCCAGCAGCTGCTTTTAATGCCACCTTTAATGACCAGGGCACCTGCCAGCCAGAGTGCAGGCTCTACATCGGGTATTCTGTACAGAGCATACCCCAGTGTAAATTCGCAGGAAATCTCAGACTGTGACCAACAGAAGATGTTCTTAGGGGATCTTAATGGCCTTTCCAGGCTTCTTCTCCGCTGCCTTGAAGCACCAACGACTTTCTATTTGCCTTGTTTTTTTTCCTCGTTCTCCAGCCGAGCCCAGAAATGAGAACATTTCATGAGCCAAACCCATGAGTACCACAGAAAACAATAATTACAATGATCACGGGCATCATCATCATTTTATCGTGGTTAAGGATGCACAAAACAACTTCATTGCCCCCTCAGCTCACCTACACAGAGCTCCCACAGGGAAAAGAAGATGAAAGAATAATCTGAATACCTCCTTTCGTTGCTATAAAATGTGTGCCAGTCTGGTCTGACTGTGGAACATGGAACATGGCATGTGTACAGCTTCATCAGGAGTATTAATAGATCTATGAGATACAGGACAAACTGATTCTGTGCTCAGAAGAGCAGTTAACACAAACACGGAACAGAAAAAAAACTAAATCCCTAATGATAGCACTTAGCACAGGTACAATCTTCTGCAGGAGAAACCACACCAAAATCATTTAAACACTCAAAACCATTTAGATTAAACTGAAATAGTGAAAACGTGTTCTTTTTCACACTGGGTATATTAAGACTGTAATGTAGCAATAAAGAAGACACAAACAATTTTATACAGTGCCTTCCAGAGGATGGAAGAACCTACAAGACAGTTCCTTGAGTTAACTAGCAGTCTATAAAAAAAAAGGCAAAAGGGGGGGAGATTTTAATTACCGTGCTTTTCAAGGTGAGCTAAAATAAAAGCAATGAAGTCCACTTGCTGGGTTGTGTGCTAAGGACTGCCTATTCTAATGAAATGCCACTCAGAAATATATAAACCTATATATAATTATATACATCTGTCTAGATCATGACAAGTATATATACTGTAAACATCACCCTATACACCTTTCAAAAGATCTCCACTGTTATGATCAGGATAAAGGTAATAAAAATGAACTGATCTGCAGTGTTGGGTACCTGTAAACTGGCTGCATCTCCCTGGCAATGCCAATGACCGCCCCAGCAGGGAAACGGGTGAACTCCTGGAACAGCTCCCTGATGTTGCTCCTGTATTTGAGATCCAGGTCCAGCTGTACAATCTGCTTCAGATCTGATGGGAGACAGCAGGGATTAGAAAACGACCAGCCTGGTGCAAAACCACAAATACACAGCATTGGATAGCTGACACTCTTGTCGTCTTGCAATGTGATAAAAGGATTTGGCTGGAAACACAAACACATCATTGCTTTTACTTTCATCCCGCTGTGATATTCAAGCGCTTGTTTTCTTTCATCTGTAATTTTAATCTTCCCAGTCTGAAACACTTAGTGTTCACAAGGCATATTTGGCTGCTGATGAGTGGGATGATTAAGCTAAGCTATGGGTAAATGCGGCTGCTGGAAACCAGCTCTAGCTGTTTCAGTTACATTCCCTGATTTCTAAATACTAACATGGCACTAACAGTGTGTTGTTTTTAATGACACCCTCATACAGGTTCGTCTTTAAACAAGACAATTGCCTAATCATTTTTGGTGAAAGTGGTTTAACATGAAGCAACAGATTCAATAGCCCTTGAATGTTTTTGAGGTAACTGGGTATCAGTAAAAGAATGAGTTTCAACACTGGTGCCTCCACCTGTGTCAGTGGTGGGAACATGCATCATATGGATTCAACACATTTGTTATGACAACTTGGAGAAAAGAAAATCCCTGAGGCCGTCTGCGGTCTTGGGTTCTTGCACAGCCTCATGGGAAATGTGGCATCACACATTTTTATACACTGTAGAACGCTGCCTTCTTATCCACAACTCTCAGCTCCCCAACACTGCCTGTAGCATCTATTTCCAGTACACTATCTTTGTATACCATAATGGATCACATATTTATTTTAATATTGGATGGTGAAAGTCAGCAAGTGCCAAAAACATGTCCAAATTTAACTTTCTATTTAGCCATCATAACCTTTTGATAAACAAACCTTGATAGCCCAACTTGCTTAGTTAGAGGTAATACTAAGGTTAACCACAACTTCGAATAATTTAATATGTAGTAGGTTTTTTTCAACCCAGTGCAAAGTTAATCTATCCACCTGCAAAGTACTGAACCAACAGCAAGACTGAAAAAAATGTTTATCTAGTCAAAATAACACACTTAAAGATCCTGTATTATTTATAGATCTGCCCATAGGATTATTCTGCACACCCCCTTTCACTACAAACACGGTAAAAACAACTAATAAACAAGTTCTATTTTTCATGTGCAACTGCTGACCAATGGTCTGTGATCTCACACTGAACAATTGCCGTTAGCAAAGAAAACCAGTTGAGTGACCCCTTCATGGCAGAACCTTGCCTATGGTATAAATGGGCAGATATACTCTATATTCAGTTCACAACACTAAAAACAGGTGTGTTACAGTGCTGGATATGCAGTAACCGATTATAGGGTGTTTACAGCATAGGCCAGCCGAGTTCTGCAATTTAAAAAGGCGCATGGCAGGACCTGTGTTCCCATCCCGAGGCCGGTTAGGATTCCACGCATTACTGAGCCAACATACGGCCTCTGTCTGAAACTGTTGGGGACTTGAGGCGACTGCCCAGCCCAAAATAAAAAGGCAGTGAGGCCTGCATGCAGAAACCTGTTCGCTTCATGCCCTCTGCAGCTGATGTGGGTTTTCCTACTCTCTCAGAATAGGAAAGGCCATCCAATCTAACCTGATTTACCCAAGCACACGGCCGGCCAGCTGGAAAAAAAATGGAACAGGATATCCTGAAAGTGAACATCATCTATGGTTATCTCAAACATACCAATATGGGGAAGTTGTGCAGTGGATTCTGTCTGCAAAGAGAAACAATGGAACGGTTTCAAAGAAAAAAAAATATCTGAATAAAATAATACAGAAACTGCAGAGCATTTGAACAGGAACTTTTGTGTCGCTTTTGGCTCAGCTCAGAGAACAATAGAAAGAAATGAGTTTGGACATCTTGAGATATAAAAGCTTGTGCGTTCAACAGGCTGGCTTAAACAACTGTGTATAGTTTTATCTCTATTACTTTACAGCCATTGTTTTTAAACTGCAAAAACCAAAGGGTTAAAAACTCTTGCATGTTCTAGAAAAAAAAACAAGGAAAATGACTACGAGGAAACCCGCAGTGGAAAAGTGATGTAGGTCACCAACATTTTTGCCCATGGCAAATATCCCAGAATAAAGGAAACCAGACTGTAATGCTTGCTGAGCTGTTCTATAAAGAACAGTGATGGAGCACTAACACGCGCGCTAACAGCTACAGGCAGCCTTAATTGGCCAAGACAAACAAGTCAGTGTATGTGAGAGAGAGATAACTCGGTTAAGAAGCCACACACTTGTACTCGGCCTACAGCAACACTTAGGTTGTTTACAGAGAATGTCACGGGTAGGTACCAAAGAAGAATTTTTGTTTTTTCCACTATCATGCGTAAGAACAACATGCATCATTAGTGAGGATCACCACCACCTAATCCACTTACTGTAGATCAGGATTGCCTAGTCATCAGAAATCACAACGTTAAAAAACTGTCAACTCAAACATTTTGAATTCATAGGTCTATATTTAATGCGTATTTCCTCTTCAACATCCCTCAGAAGAAACTGCCATTGCTTCACTTTGATGTCTGAACTCCCTTGCAGTTCTCAAACTCTTCTGGTTTAGTCCTGAAGAACAGAGAGAACACTTGCCATCTTTCATTCTTGAAATGAAGATGCACTCATCTAGAAGATCAAATTCCAAATCTCTGATTAACCAACCTATATAATGTTGGATAGCTCTGGATCCGTCAGATACAGTATGTTAGACAAAGAATCTGAAAAACATAAGGCAGAATCGCAGGGCACACACAGACAAACGTACACATTCAGACCAGGGCCAGGGCAAACATTGTAAGAACATACAAATTCCATGCAGATGGGACCCCAGGTGCAGAAATAAACCCAGGCACTGGTACCTCTATGCTACCCTGCTACATGTTTATATATATTCTTAATAGGCCCGTTTAAAGGTGGATAAAGCAAAAAATGCAAAATGCCCACATTATACATGACAGATCAGTTCATTTTTAAATTACATTTTCTACCTCATAGACATTTTAGAAAACAAACGCAAAATGCACAGTTCTGGGGCATTTGTATTGTAAACCCCTTACATAGGGCATGGAATAGAGCAAAATGTACCTTGGAAATAATATGTACATCTCAAGAGTTATCCATGTATAAAAGAAAATATAAAGATATCCACAAAACAGCTTTTCCCTTTCTATAGTCTACCCTATATCTTGAGTATCATTGCTGTCAAATCCAAATTTCCAATAAAGTACTGCATTGCAAAAGCATTAGCAAAGATGACAATTTTCTGAAATGTACCTGAAACCTGCTTTCTATATAATGGAACCTGCTTTTCTGGTTCAGCCAATTGTACCATATGAATCTGCACTTCAGAGAAGCCATTCTTCTGGCCCTTGTTGTGTTCAGTGCCTTGGCTCCAGGGTCCTTCCAGAATTACTGAGCCTTGAAATGTCATTGACAAGCTGTCGACTTTTCAAACAGACAAAAACATGGACTTCAGCTGCTTAAATAAACACGCACTGTACAATTATACCTGTTTAAAAAAAAAAGAGTCAGCAGGTGTAATTGCAGGTTAATTCTCTGAAGCACAATGCCTCTTAGTGTACCAAGAAAGATGAAAACTGCAACCTGGTAGTGTTAATTAAAAAGCATCAATACCGTGAGATGAAGCCAGAACAGCAGGAACAAGTAAGTGGCTGGTTTTCACCTTAACAGAAAGCTCTTCTTTATAACCAATTGTTAGATAAGTGCCCAATTCACAGTTACCAGTGGTTATTAGTACTGCGCCCCTGACATTTTCATTTATACTGTGGATACTTTGACTAAGCTACTGGCTTTCACTCAATTACTGAATTTAGAGAATAGATGAATGCCATACATTTCTCACAGAAAAGCTGTATTGTGTCCCATTCTCACAATTTATGGAGAGCACTACACTCTGGCCTCTGCACCTGCCCGTGCACTCCTGCCAACAGTAGCAGGTCAGAAGCCAAAGGCGAGTGAAAACGCCAAGTTGGACAAATGTAGAGCAGGAAAAGCTCGATGGATGGAGCAAGCCCCACAGGGTAGAACGTGGAAATAACGTGAGCCGACAACCTCCCTCCCGGTATTGGCAATAACAGTTGATCGTCAGGCCAACGCAGTGGATCCTGGGAACTTTCACACAGCGGGCCACAAGGATCCTTCAGTGTTGTGTTGCTTTTTATTTAAGAAAAATCTCTGAATACATAATACCCTGGAAGCAAAGAGTTTTTATAAATGTTAAAAATCACAAACCACAGACTGTAAATATAACTTGAAAGAATAGACAACTACAATCTAGTTTCAGCTCAAGGAATTGGGAGGGTAATGTAGACTCCAAATTAGAAATACGTGAATTAGGGCATATAATCTGTGTGTAATTTAATGTAATTAGAATAACGTCATTAGTGTTTCTTATAGGCATGTGAATTGGGGCAATTTGTTTAGCTTAATATGGCTACAATACACTCCTGATGCACAACACCAACTGCTACCTTAACGGATCCGTCATGAATTTCATTTACCAGTTTAACACACAGTTAAGAATTCTCAACTATCAGGAAATTAAGAGGAGCTAGAAGTTGGAATACAATTGTATTTTACAGAGCACAGAAGTAAACTAAAAAGATGATAAAAGAGTTTGAAACAGTATGACCACTATGCGTAATATAGGACACAGAATTGAAGAACTCCAGAAATACATACATTCATTAATCCAGTGAATTCAATCGCATAGTTTAAATGGCATACTTTTTCTTCTTTTTATTTTTCTCAAATTACCCATATTTCAATTTAAAAAATATTTTTCTTTAAAAAATCCTTCTGCTTGGGCAAAAAGTATGAGCTTTCTATACCTAGAAGAATGGGATTGAAGGTAAACCTGGTAAACTTGAACTTCTACAACTACCATTATTTGGTAGAAACGTCCCCAATAGAAATCTCAACTGTGCATGTGTCTGTCTCTTTAGAGTCCATCAGGTAGAAATTTAAACAATGACTCATCTCCAAATTATCATTCTGATTTCTAGGAAGATTTACCTCCCTTTGGGTTAATTTGTTTTGGGGAAAAAAAGTACAGGAAAACATTTCACAGGCCTGGTGACTGATAAACCAACTTTTATATGTCTTATGTTCCCTAGAAGTTAGAAGTTAATATTTTTGTCAATTCTTAAAATACTGCACCATACTGCACCAAAACAAGATGACAACAATGAACAATAATACACAGAGCACCAAGAATTACACACTAACACATCCAAAAAGCAAAAGCACAATGTATGTCAAGCAGATAAAATAATATCAGTCCAAATACAAACCCATACTATTTGTGGAACGCGCAAAAGTTAACCAAAACCTTTGATTTTTGAATGTATTCCAGTCATGGATTTAGGTGACTAGTATTTTATGATGATTAAAGCAAGAACAAAGGTTGAACATGTTTAGACAACAGAAATCGAACCTATACCACACTATTCACAGAGAGGTCCCGCAGGTTAAACAAACAGCTATAACTTCTTGGCATCTTATCATAATAAATCGGAATCAAGTTGACAAGCACAACATGGCACATTAACAGTTAAATGTCTGAGCAAAAGTTAAAAATATAAATTTGTGGTCTGTGTTCACTTGCTTGTGAAACTTTTACAAACCTGTTTGATAAATTGAAAACAAGAGTTCCACTCAAATAAACAAGAAGCCACAAATAAGAAACAATTGAGGAAAAAATATTTTAGTCTTTTTTTCCTGTTTTGTTTCTGGGAATCAAGTTAAATCAACATCAGTACACCTAAGAAGTTGGAAGTTAAGGGTTGTAATCTACGTTTTGGATAAAAGCAGAGTACTCATCTGTAAAGAACTCTGCTGTAGCTGTTGCAGGGAAATGAGATACATGACTTACTTCTGGACTATTGAGAACATCTGTCCAAACTGATTTAATGTACCAAATGGAATAACTATTGCAGAAGGAGAAATAATAGGCTGAATGTTGCCTTGTATTGTTTTAACAAAACTGTATTGTGAAGTTTGGATACTGATAGGAAATTATTTTTGTTCTATGGCCTCAAATTTGTAAAACAAATAACACAAACCAAAAGATAATTATTAGTGTCATAACATTCTCTAAAGGTGTCAGACTTTTCTTGTACATTTCTCTTGTACAGGCCTCTTCTTTTGGTGACAGTGCTTGACTTTTATGTGAAAACACAGATGAGTGCAGAAAGGTTTCAGTTAAATAACTCTGTGCGGTCAGTGGGAGGGTGTGGAACAGGCTATATGGTACAACAGTCTCATGTCTCCTGGTCACTTTGCCATGTGTCTGACAGAACAGAATTGAATGAGAACTGTCTGTCATACTGCTTGTGCAGCTTTAGGGGCTCCTTCATTGACATGTTATTGAATTACTTGTCCAGTAGACTACAATACTGAGCAGCAGAATTAGGCATCATTACGTCAGAACTCTTTCTGTGGTTTAAAAAATAATTCAGCTAGGATACAGAAGTATAAACAGTTATTCTTATACTGTAGCATATTTAACACTTACATCCATTATTCATTGCAAATGTTGCTCTTAACTCCCTTACCAAAAGAGTGTTTATTCAAGATAAGAGTGAAAACACCTGTTCCAGCTGCTAACTCTGATTATGTACACAAAAAAACACTGAGAAGTCATAAAGCCTGTTGTCTCCTGTAATGTGATTGGATCACGAGCTAATTAACATGGACGCTATAATTATACGTATAATACACGAGCATCTATTTAAAAAAAAATGTAATTTAGCAATTGTGGTTTTGCACTACCATGACGCGATTCCAAGAGACTCTGCTAGTTACACTTGGGTTAGGGAGAGTACATAATTTAACAGAGTCACGCAGTCTAAGTCTAGCTCCTTCCACACAGCTAATTCAAACTCCTCAAAAGAGCTCTTTAAAAAAGAGTAATCAGAAAATAAACTTTTCAAGAACAGCAGCAACATTAAGGGCATTTTCCTGAGGAAAGCTCTACTGAGGCGTGACTTATAGCCACACACTCACAGCGGCCGCTGGCCAGTGCGAGCCCGTCCCGAGGGGTGGCGCCGGCTGTGCTGACCTGCAGGCATGATGCGGTGCATGGCGACGGACAGGAAGAAGATGGAGTCGCTGTAGTAGGCCCCCGAGCCGGCGCTGAAGTGCTTCTGCATGGCCTCGACGATGGGGAAGAGCTTCTCGGTCAGGGTGCTCACGTCGTGGAATACGACCTGGGGAAAGCGCAGGGACACGGGGCTTAGGACTCAACACACACACACAGACAAGTTTCCGAGGGAACCAGCTCAGCTCAGGGGAACTGTTCAGGCTCCTGGCGGCTGGCTTTCATTTCAATATGTCTTACCTGATAAAGCACTCTCCTGTGGTGAACTTTTATATCCTGACCAAGACCTAACACAAAAATGACAACATCTGCAGAATTCCAGGCTTGTCGACTAAGTGCCCCACCCAATTGTGTAAAAAAAGCAAGCAGAACATTTCAGGACTTGATTAAAATTGCTCGATTAAAAAGCAGGCCTTGGTGCAGTTGTCCTAAGATGTTGTTCTTGCTTCAGTTCACAGTATTCCCAATGAACTGAATAATAACACATACATGCACCGTGAGAATCCTCCCAGGTGACAGAATGAAACTCAATTAAATGGCACAAACACAGGTAACATTCCAGTACCAATATTATCAAATTCTCAAATAGTGTCGCTACAGTCTACTAACCACTACGGGATAGGTAAGATCCGTTATAGACTGAAAATAGAACAGTATTCTACCTGGGCTATGGCATCACATTTATCTCCTATTCACACTTGATCACCAGATTTCTTGGAATTCTGCTCTGGTTTCAAACAATGCTTTGCCTACGACAGCAGTCTAATGAAACTGCAGCCCACTGTTCCAGAGAAAGTATTCCCCAAGCCATGTTAAGTGCCTCTGATTACTGCCACAAACTCATGTGAACACAGCTTCTTGAAGCACAAAAGGAGGCTGCACAAAACTAAGGAGGCTGATGTTTCAATTTGTTTTTAACATGAGCAGCAGTGGCCTAAAAAGAAAAGCAAAAAACAGCTCTATTATTCCAAGAGTAACACAATGGGGGATAGCTTTGTTTTTGCGTGCCAGAAATGAGCCAGCTGGAGAATTTTCAAGGATGCAAAAGCGACCTTTGGACATTGTAATGAAATTTAACAGCATTAATTACAAAAAAAGACTGCAATGAAAATCAAGGTTATCAAGTTGCAATGGTTGTTTATAAACATATTAAACACTGAAACACTGGTATTTTACAGCAAGGCATTAAAAAAACAGAAATGGTGAGTCTGATTCATAACTGAACTCCAGTAATTCGACAGAAATCCATGCCACAATCCGATAATGGGGATTCACTGGGAAAGGAGATTAATAGAAGAGGATTGCAGTAAATACCGTAACCTCACACTCAGATTTAATCATTTTTACATAAATATGTTCTAACATATTTTTCCCTACCATATAACACACATTGCCATCTGAGCCAGAAAAGAGTCAAATGTTCATTAAGCAGAAGCAGCAGTATAGACAGGAATCTGTCAATCTGCACTGAAATGAGTGAATTCTAATTTCCCCAACGTTCCCTTTCAAGTTTAGACAATGCCTGCAGGAGTTGTTTTACATCACACACGTACTACTACTGCTTTGGAATGCTAATGATTACAAAGTCTTCCAACCGTACTGTACAGGAGGAGTTTGTTAGCAGGTTTCAACCTAACATGAAAACAGACTCCATGTTCTATTCATGTTGACCCAAGACCATTTTCCAGATTAATAAAACCAAAATGTCTCTTTCTTTTTGAGTGGTCTAGTCAACCATGAATGCAGAAGAGGAGCATGTATACAGTCATATATGGACCTGTAGGAGTTCAGTGTAGAACCACAGATGATTACAATGTGGGTGTACAAAGAAACGTTACTCTATATAAAGGAGGTTTTGCAAGAATTAAAGTACAACATGAGAAATCTTCTTTATTTTTCCAACTATCCATCACAGTTTTGACATAACCCATAATTGGTATTTCTGTAGTTCCATTCTCTTTATTATCTTTCTAAAACTCTGCCAATTTAATTGTATTAACAAAACCCATTCTGAGGAATACTGAGGATTTCAAGAGGGAGCTGCTAAACCATTTATTATTTTTTAAATGAACACATTGCATATTGCCAACAGGCAGAAAATAGGTCATGTAAAATAATAAACGGCAGAAGCAAAGAAAGGAACGCTTGAAAGGAACCCTTGGCCTGAAATAAAAAAGACAAGAAAGGAAAAATTGAGTGAAAACCATGTCATACAGTACATGACTCAGAATGCTGAGATACGGCGTGGAGGAAGAGCACTGCATTATTGGTATGAATCCCAATCAGTTTCCAACCAGGAACGTGCTATAGTCATCAGTCTATATATTACGAATCCACGCCAATTCTCTTTAAAGCCCATTGTCCATTAAATAAAACTGTTCAATATTAAGGTACAAAGAGCACCTTTTATAGACTGGTCCTTTTAGAGAATGGAAGAGTTTTTACTTCAATAGAGCATGTACTACTATATATTTAATTTGAAGAATAAAAGAATCGAACACCTATAAAAAAGACAATCGCAAGTAAAGCACATCTATAAAATCTCAGGAGCATCACTTTTGTACTACTAAATTTGCATATTGCACAGTCCATCTAAAAATGCTATTTTTATTTTTCATGTACTGCTGAATCAGAGTACAAATGCCTCAGTGTTTGCTTTTACAAAGCATGTGAAATGCTGAAACAATTCATGAACGAGGGAACAGAGTGTGAACTATATATTTAGAACAAATAAAGCCTACCTCAGAAAAAGATTAAATGTGTTTTTATTTAAAATATACCTTAAATGAGTCATTTTCACAGATGCATTTAAAAAAGAAGATGTGTTTTTATTTCATTTTGTCTGTCAATGAAATTGTAAAAGGAAACTTCCAGTTTCGATTCACAATTCTTGGTTCACTTATCAGAGAACACATTCCAAACGTTCCACAAGAAGCACCTTAACAGCACCACACCTCCATACCTTTCTGTAATTAACACAGAGCTTGCCGTTTGAAGTTTGGCTTCAGACTTGATCCTCACCCTCACTGGCCTTTGATAATGAGGGCACATATGTTGAGAACTACGGGAGAGGAGCTGGCATGAAGCAAAAGCTGCTCACCCTCATGAAATATACAGTACACCCTGATTTAATCAAGCCTTGTGGTAGGATGAAAATGTTCACAAAGGTCAGGCGATAAAGTCATGGCAGACCACATATGTGCTGTGAAACAGTGGGGGCATTGATTTTACATTGCAGGGAGTCAGAACGCTATTAATAGAACAAGGTCTACATTTAATGCCGTCTTTCCATTCTAGAACCTCCTAAAATTTGATGTTGCAAGTACTGAATATGGCAAGGAAGCAACAGCTAAAGGGACATCTATGGACAGTAGCTCTTTGTAGCCGACTGCATCAATACCTACATTTCATCTGCAATTCTGGTGAGATTAAACACCGAAGCCGATCCTAGGTTCAGGGTTAGCATGCAAAATGGCAATCAATGAGTTAAGGTTAGGATGGAGACCTGTATCATTTTTTTTTTGTTTCTAGGTTTTATATTAATGTACTTGAATTCTAAAATTGTATTTTTTATTATATACTTTTATTCAGTAAGAAGTAGGAGGGGGTTTAGGTTAACAGTCCTGGAAGCATTACTCAGCATTAAAACCAGAATTTAAAAGACCTTGAGTTGATCAATAGCTCTAAGGCTGTGAAGTTGTACCTTGCATTCTAAATATGTACACATACTTTAGGCAAGACAACTTAAAAACAATAAAAGCAGTAAGGAAGTGTTAATCATTACTTTTCCATGAAACAGGCACACAGTCTGTTAGTCACAAAAATCATTTTAGAAATGACTAAAACAATACATACTGTATGCTTCAGACAGAAAGTAAAATGTCTACAACTGCTGAATCACACTGAACCCATTCAAAAATAAATACAAAGAAAGTCAGGATAATGCCCATTCTATAAAATCATCCTTTATTAAAGCACAGCATAAGGCTTCTGTCAATTTAAAAGACATTCAAGAAATCTGTTTGCTATAAAAGATTTTGGTCAGGAGCGACCTGGCGTTCCATGTATGCGTTAAGCTTCTGCCGTTCACATCGAAGCAAGAGATAATCACATAGTTTAGCAATAGACTATTGAATTAATAATCATGGCACTGGATTAAATTATTTGAATTCTGAGAGCAGGATCACTGAGTAATTGACGATGTGCAAATCTGAAATCTGATACAGTTACAAAGGTTAGAGGAGATGGCTGGAAATGAGATAATTAAAGTCTCTGGGAGGGCGGGGTGCCCTGCACATTAAACAGCCAAAGGTGCATATTAAGCAGTCAAGTGGCTGAAGTGAAACGCATTGCCAAAAATACACACAGCAGTAAAGAAGCATTAGACCCAGGAGACCAAGACACTAAGGTGTCGTGGTCTAGTTTAGCACCGCTGCCTCACCGTTCCAGGACTAGGGTGCCTATTGTGTGGAGGTCTCCATACGGTCTTGTTTGGAGGACCCCGATTTCCTCTCATTTTCCAGGAACATGCCGGCTAAGTTAAAGCTGCCGTCCCAATTCCTCAGACCAATGATTTCATCTTGGCAACAAAATAAATTAATTCACTTTGTGCAAGCAAAAGTACTGTATGGCCAGCATGTGGTCGCAAATTGCTGGTCTGGCCACGGGTGAGAGCAAGAGTTTGCGAGAATTGCAACGTGAAGCAACCCTTCCCGCTCACTAGTCACTGTAACTAATGTCATGCGAGGCATGAGCAAATAAGCACAGGTTGTGCGGCAGACATTTCACCAGGGAACTGTTTCAACATGACCTGCACTCAGTTACAAGTAGTATTTCTCAACAAAACAACGGGGTGTAGCCCTGCTATGATTTATTTGCTTCCAGGCAGATTCTAGGCTGCCTTGAACATCACCAGGAATGAGTAGTTTTCTGATAAAGGATGGAATAACTTGGATAATTGTGATGACGGGGGAGTGGTTCAGTCCTGTTACTGAATAAATACAATCATTCTTATTAAGCCAGTATTTGTTTTATCCTTTTTTTTTATTTAATCTGGATGAATACTAGTGCAGAGGTATGACAAACAATCTTATTGTATTTTTTGAGTAC